GTTTTATTCTTTCTATTTTTTATTCTCAAAGAATATCTATTTCATTTCACAAATCAAATGTGCAAGAAAATATTTTTTATTTTTTATTCATGTAAATAATTTATAAATAAAGAAAAATTCAATTAAAAAAGGGAAAACTTTTTATAAAAAAAAAAAGGCAAATTCTTTGTCCAATCGATCTCATTTTCCTCAAAAGTGAAAAAAATTTTTTTTTTCTTTTTAACAAAAAAAGTCATTTCATTCACGGTCCGTAAAGTTTAAACCGACATAATTAAATGTGAAATTAAAACAACAGAATTAAATTCAAAATTATTGTAACGTAATTAAAACGTCATTTCTAGAATTTAAAAATTTCAAGAACGGTTATTAAAAAATTAATTCTTTTAAATAAATATGTAATTTAAAGAACAATTAACACATGTCAATATTCGATTGGTAGCTTTCCCAAACTTAATTATAAAAACCCAATTAAAAGTTGCTTTATCAGAGGATCAATGTGGTCACAACATCAGCTATTCGTAAAGATCTTTGTCCGAGACTTTTGATTCCCACTTAATCCTTACATCTTTTGTTCATGAAGGAAACATGACACCAGTAAATATATCATCCAATAAGGGTATTTATGTCATTTTGTATAATTTAATGGCTGCCCTTTAGCTGCCCTTATGTATATATATACATGAAGTCTCCTCAACGTCCTTCTCCAGCTCACTCAAAGCTTCTCTCTGTCTATATGTATCTGTTTACCTCTTTTTCAACGCTTTCTTTCCCTAGAACTTGTGTTTTTTTTCTTTCTCTATCTGGATTTTGATTGATTTTTCTTCATCTTGTAAGTCAAAGCTTTCTCATTTTTCAGTCATTTGTTGGGAGATCAAATGTTGTCGATGATTGTATTTTTTTGAAATTTTGGTTTTTTTTTTTTTATTAATCGAGGCCGTTTTATGATCTGGGTACTTCTTAATTTTCTTAGATCTCTTGTTAAATGTGAGAAAATTTTATGTCTTGGGTTGCTTTTTAAGCTGTTACTTAGGCTACATTTATTTGCTTATTAATTGGATCTGAATCTCTTTCTCTTGTTATATGCTGGAATGGGATTTAAAAGAGCTTATATATATATTTACATCTTCAAAGTAGTAATCTTTTATTTACATTGGATATGGTAATGAAGATGGATCTTGTTGCTAGAGTCATAAACTTATGCATCATCTTTTTCTTTGTTCGTTTAACTTTGATTGCAAACATTGACATAACAAAAAAGAGAGAAATGGGAGCTTTAGATTATTGTTCAATTTCTATGGAAAATGAAATGATGGAATAAAAACTATGATGAATTCAAGTTTAATTTAATGAACCAAAAGAAATTAAAAAAAAAAAAAAGCTATGAGGTGATGTTATTTGATTGCATTGGATGGCATGATCCACCTATGTTGGAGGCAGATCTGTTTTTAAGCTTGCTTTTTTCCTCTTGTTTATTTATAAAAAATGAGATCTGGTGGAATCTTCTGTCGAAATGGAAATTTGCTTAGTTTGTCGGTGCTTTCTTGTGTGTTTGTCTTTATATGGTTTTGGATTTTTACATGCTTATTTAAGGTTTGGTGCTGGATTCTATTTGCCTTCTATGTATTTGTTTATGCAAGTTGGTGCTTATTTCTATTATCTTTTGCCATACTTCTGAAGTTAGGTTGTGTATTTCTTCTTTTGTAGAATTGGTATCAGTATGTCTACTTATACCCCCAAGAACATTCTTATTACTGGGGCTGCTGGGTTTATTGCATCTCATGTTGCCAATCGGCTCATTCGAAACTACCCGGACTACAAGATTGTTGTACTTGACAAGCTTGATTACTGCTCAAACCTGAAAAACCTCCTTCCCTCCAAGTTATCCCCGAACTTTAAGTTTGTTAAGGGGGACATTGGCAGTGTTGATCTTGTTAACTACCTCCTCATCACTGAGTCTATTGACACAATAATGCACTTTGCAGCCCAAACTCATGTTGATAACTCATTTGGGAACAGCTTTGAGTTTACCAAGAACAATATCTATGGCACTCATGTCCTGCTTGAAGCCTGCAAAGTCACTGGTCAGATCAGGAGGTTCATCCATGTGAGCACAGATGAGGTTTATGGGGAGACAGATGAGGATGCAGTTGTAGGAAACCATGAGGCTTCCCAACTTCTCCCAACAAACCCATACTCTGCTACAAAAGCTGGTGCTGAAATGCTTGTTATGGCATATGGCAGGTCATACGGATTACCTGTAATTACAACCCGTGGAAACAATGTTTATGGTCCCAACCAGTTCCCTGAAAAATTAATTCCAAAGTTTATCCTCTTAGCAATGAGGGGGAAGACTCTTCCAATTCATGGAGATGGTTCTAATGTGAGGAGCTATTTATACTGTGAGGATGTGGCTGAGGCATTTGAAGTCATTCTTCACAAGGGTGAAGTCGGGCATGTTTATAATATTGGAACAAAGAAGGAAAGGAGAGTGATAGACGTAGCCAAAGATATTTGCAAACTTTTCTCAATGGATCCTCAGACAAGCATCAGGTTTGTTGAAAACAGACCATTCAATGACCAGAGGTATTTTCTTGATGATCAGAAACTCAAGAACTTGGGATGGTCTGAGCGAACGGTATGGGAAGAGGGGTTGAAGAAGACCATAGAATGGTACACCCAAAATCCTGATTGGTGGGACGATGTGTCTGGCGCACTTCTTCCACATCCAAGAATGCTGATGATGCCTGGTGGTAGACACTTTGATTCTGAAGAGGGAAAAGGTACATCATATATAAGTGGTCCTAATCAGACCCAAATGGTGGTTCCAACCTCCGAAAGTAATAGAGGTTCTCCTCGAAAACCATCTTTGAAGTTCTTGATCTATGGCAGGACTGGCTGGATTGGAGGTCTGCTTGGTCAGTTATGTGATAAACAAGATATTCTCTTTGAATATGGAAGAGGACGCTTGGAAGATCGTTCATCACTTGTGGCAGATATTCAAAATATAAAGCCAACCCATGTTTTTAATGCTGCTGGTGTGACCGGTAGACCCAATGTTGATTGGTGTGAATCTCACAAAACAGAAACCGTTCGTACCAATGTGGCTGGAACCTTGACCTTGGCAGATGTTTGCAGAGAGAATGGGCTTTTGATGATGAACTTTGCTACTGGGTGTATATTTGAGTATGATGCTGCACATCCTGAGGGCTCTGGCATTGGGTTTAAAGAGGAAGACAAACCCAATTTCACCGGTTCCTTCTACTCAAAAACCAAGGCTATGGTAACTACCTTGGATACCTTTAATCTAAGTCAATTTTGTTTGTTAATTGTTGTCTTAAGTGCTCATAAATTGCCTCAATATTTTTAGGTTGAAGAGCTATTGAAAGAATATGACAATGTTTGCACCCTCAGAGTTAGAATGCCGATCTCATCTGACCTAAACAACCCCCGCAACTTCATCACCAAGATTTCACGCTACAACAAGGTGGTCAATATTCCCAACAGCATGACGATCTTGGATGAACTTTTACTGATTTCTATTGAGATGGCAAAAAGGAATTTGAGGGGTATATGGAACTTCACAAATCCTGGTGTTGTGAGCCACAATGAAATCCTGGAGATGTACAAGGCATATATTGACCCCAAGTTTCAGTGGGTGAACTTCACATTGGAAGAACAAGCCAATGTCATAGTTGCCCCGCGAAGCAATAATGAGTTGGATGCATCCAAGTTGAAGAATGAATTCCCTGAGTTGCTATCAATCAAGGAATCACTGATTAAATATGTCTTTGAACCCAACAAGAGAACCTGAGCCTAATAAGCAGGTTTCAGCTATGGAACCTCAGTATTGACCTCTGCTTTCTACATTTAGTATTATGACCAGGAATATCTTTTCAGTTTCATTCATTTGTTATTGTTGTCTTCCACCACATTAATTTTACACAAACTATAATGTATTAGGTTTTTCATCTTTAATCCTCACTAGCTGCACCAGAGCTCCTTTTTTGAAGAAATAATCTATAGGTACTTTACAATTTGTGTCATCTGCAGGCTGGCAGGTGTATTACTTCTGCATTTCTTTAGTTGAATATTATGGCTTCAACACATGTACTAGTCTTTAATGGAAGAAATTGCATTGATCTCTTATTCAAATGAGTGGATAATTTATGGGTTAGAGTCCTCAATTGTCTTTTGTGCAACTAGAGTTGGAGTAAGTTCCTGATTAACTGGAAAAAATATTTAAGTGCTATGTAAGTTGCCATATTAATCCACACAGTATATTGCATTCCTTTGACTGAAAAAAAAAAAAATATATATATATATATATATATTTTACAATTTTTTCTTTTTACCTTGCAATTCCAAACCTCTATAACCATGTATTTCCATTTGTTACCACTTATCCATCTTTCTTTTTTCCCCCACTTTTTCAACTTTGGTTATAATTTATAAATGGAAGTATATGATTAAAAAAAAAGAAAAAACAAGGGAATCATGTTCAATTAGGCCTTGTTAGGCATTGGGAGGAAAGAAAATGATGTTTCAGTCAAGATTCACAGGGAGAGATTTCAAACTTTGAGTAGCGATTGATTATTTCCACAGTTTGGAAGCAATCCAAATAACATAATACCCAGTTTAACTAATGAACAGCTAATATTCAACGCATTTGCCGAAGAATATTGAACAAATTTAAGGCATATGAAACTTATGCCATGTTTGGATGAATGTTACAGAGTAGAAAGTTAATCCTTCATCTTATTATTCAAATGGTTGAAATATTAGTAAGAGAACTGTAGTTGTACAAATGGCATGGGTGCAATAACAATGCTGTAGCAGACTCCCACTGCTATTATCATTGCTGGTTCTTTTATCCTACTTTCCAGACTCTGTACATCTTCCAAGACCTTTTCTACTCCGTCAGCCAGGTTACAAAAATTTGAAAGTATATTTTCAAATTAAATCATATTAAATGTTTAATTTTGAGGTTTAATCTTGAAAACAATTTTTTATGCTGTTCAGCCCAATATGTCGATAAGTGGTGGCCCATCAAAGATTGAGCGGGCTTGAAGGCTTGGGCTAACCCCCTAGCCCATAGAAACCCGCCTATGAAATCCGGAGCATGACGATTGCTCCATTTTTCCAACTGAAATTTCCAGTTTTCCGGTCTTCTCCATCAAAGCTTTCTTCTTTAACAGAGAAGAAAGAGAAAAACATGGCAAGAAGGAAACTTTTGTTGCTGTTGAAGCCATTTGATGTCTATCATGTTACTCAATCAAAACCCGTCTCTCACTTCACCAACCCTCGGGTAATATAAAAATCAACACTCATTTCACTCTCTCAAAATTTGTACTGCTATCTTTTTTATTTTACATTAGCATTCATGGTGTTTGATTAAATGTCAGAATAACATATTATATTTATTTTACTTTTTTTTTTTAATATTTGAGAAGTTCCCGCCTTATTGGGTTTACCTTATTTTTTTGTTTGCATTCATTTTCTCTCTTTTTTGGCTTCTTTTGCCGTAACCTTCTTGATAATGTTTAAGATGTTTTTGTTTGGTAAAAAGGCTAAGCTTGAGCTTTTGTTCAATGTTTTAGTTGCTAATAATATGTTTATGAGAAGGAATTAGGGTCATACATTTATTGCTTGCTTCAGTTCTTTGCAAAGACGCAAGCTTCTATTCCCTGGAGAAATGTATTAATAGGCGGAAGATTTGTAGAGTGTATTGAATGTGGGTTGTTCTGCTTTGTGCAGTTTATAATTGGCAATTTATTAAGAAGTATTTTTTATGTGGTTTTAATTTCCTGGTACCGTTTGTAGCCATCAAGCAGTTCTCAACACAACAAGTAGCTTTTGTGTTAAAATTAGTCAAGCCATAAGCAAGGATCAGATGGCTTGCTTTCATTTGAACTAGGCTTGTTTCCTTAGGTTTTCATGGATGACCTGGAATACCGGCGTATGTACTCTAAACTTGGACACTTGGATTTCCTTTGTTTCCCCTCCCACAATCTCCCCCCCCCCCCCCCCCCCAAAAAAAAAAAAATGATTTAAGGATTCCCATTTACATATACTTAGTACTTGCAGTATTCATCCATGAGTATGAACTACCGCTTTATAAGGTATTTATTGAGACAGTAAATGAAAGCTTTTAGGACACTTGCTATAATCATTGTTCTGTTTACTTCTCCTCTTTCCATCCTGCCACTAGAATAAATTTCTTATTATTTGCACTTTCTCTTTGTACTGTCACAGGTTTTCCATTATCTTGATAATAGGCGTAAGGTTCACAAGGAGGCCATAAACTTTTGTCAGCAAATTTTACAGAAAAAAGCAGTTGACTGGAAACCCATATTACGTAATAATTTATCACAACCAATTCATAATGTGGATTTGGTTGTTACAGTTGGTGGTGATGGGACTCTTTTGCAGGCCAGTCATTTCATGGATGACTCAATTCCAGTTTTAGGAGTAAATTCTGATCCTACACAAGCTGAAGAGGTTAGTTCATTTCTCTGTCAGAGCTTTCAATTTGCTGCTGTATATCAATTTTGAAATACTTTTGATGCTCTGAACCATTTCTTGATATTGATACATCTGAGTTGGGATGCCAGTTATTCATAGTTTTCTTCTTTATAGGTTGAAGAATTTAGTAATGAGTTTGATGCTACTAGAAGTACTGGCTATTTATGTGCAGCAACAGTAAAAAACTTTGAACAGGTAAGTATATATATGTATATGTATAGAGTAACAGAAGGAAATTAACATATTTAGAGGTATTGCATAAAAAAAGAATTCTGTAGTGACAAATTTGTTGTGAGATATTGCATATCTGTTTATGTTGAAAGAGGAGTAAATTTTATGCTTATGTAAGTTTGAGAATAAGCTTTGCAACTTGACATTTTAAGAAGTTAAAGGCGACCTTAGTTAAAAGCTAGAGGTTCTGAACTTACATGCCTATACCGAATTTAAGCTTTTCCATTTTCCTATGCACATGTCTAATGGATTTCCCTTTGTGTTTTTAGCGTGATTTATTTTTACTGGATTTCAACAGCTTGGGTCTTTATTTATCAAAAACAGCATGAGTTATACTGTTCTTTTCTACATAGAAGCTTCTTGATGTAATTATAGATATTTAACATTTCTTTCAGGTTCTGGATAGCTTTCTAGAGGGTCAGACAGTTCCTTCTAAGTTGTCAAGGATGTCAATATCTGTAAATTCAAAATCTCTGTCTACTTATGCTCTTAATGATATTTTGATTGCACACCCATGTCCTGCAACAGTTTCTCGGTTTTCATTGAGGTAAGGAATTTTCATGCATATGTCAGTAACCAGTTTTACATAATGTTACATGCTTTAACGTCTTCATTTTGCATATTGGCAGAATTGAAAGGGATGACCAGACATGTTTGTCATTAGTTAATTGCCGATCAAGTGGTCTCAGAGTCTCAACTGCTGCAGGATCAACAGCTGCCATGCTCTCAGCAGGAGGATTTGCAATGCCTATGTTGTCTCGGGATCTCCAATATATGGTAAGAGAGCCTATTTCACCTGGAGCAGCCATTTCTTCCTTAATGCATGGTTTAATCAAGTCAGATCAGTCCATGAATGTCACATGGTTTTCCAAAGAGGGTTTGATATATGTTGATGGCTCTCATGTTTTCTATACTATCCAAAATGGGGATTCCATTGAAATATCTTCTAAGGCCCCAGTTTTGCAAGTTGTCTTTCCTCATTTGTCATCATAAAACTCATGTAACAGAGCTGGCAAATGCTAATCAAAAAGACATCAACATGTTTGAACCACAAATACTTTATCACTCTTGCATTAATCCGAAAGACATGTGGAGAACCAGTTTTCATTTTCTTAGTAGATAATTCAAATCATTGATTCTTTGAAAGCCAGAAATGTCCATTTGGTACAAGGATTTTAGAATAATAAGCTGGAGCGATAGCTTTAAATGAAAATCATACGTTAACATGTGGGGCCAAGTTAAAGACCTGAAGTGGATATCATATTCATTGCAGTCTTCAGGTAATAGTTAATTAGTGAATATTAATCTGCTGAACTGGCGAAGTTTGGTCATTTTTGAATCCAGAGTTTAGCTGAGTTAATTTAAGTAACCACCTTTAAGAGGTGGCACTATCTAGCGGTATGAGGTTCAAATCCCAACACCAGTAACCCCTTTCCCCTATTCTCAGGCTGCGATCTCCTTTGTAGTAAAAAAAAGTTTGGTCCTTTCTGTTAGACATTTTGGAGGTGGTATGATGCTGAATCTTTGTAGTATCTGTCTGGAGTCCATATTAAGCAAATATAAAGATATATTTTGAGTACTTTTACTTTCTTTCTTTCCCTTTCTGCCTTGTGGATATTAAACATCGGCAACACAAAAGTCTAGATTTAATGGAAGAGAAAGAAAGAAACTAACATACCCTGCAAAAAGGGGATTATGTTTCTAATCTGTACCCTGACTTAAAAGCCTCTTCACGTGAGTTACCGCACCTTGCCATGTGAATTTAAACTCATAAACCTTTTGCTTCTACATCTATTTGTCAGCTTCTTTCCAGTTGTAAGATTCTCCTTTCAAAATGCAAAATTATTTGAACTTTGAAGTAACTATCTTCCATTTTATCTACATTCTTGAGGAAATTTTGTTGATAATCTGACCTCCTCCCCCAAGAGGAAGAATCATAGAGCAATTTTATATTTAATTTTTCAGTTTTATGGGAAATTTCAGGCTTCAACATGATCTAAAACAGGAGGCTTAAAGATCTTCAATAGTACACAGAAAGAACACAAAGCTGAGAGATATATTTGCCAATTGTAACAAATTATTTGAGGAGATATTTTTGGCAATTACTCCCTTTTTTTTTGCTTTTTGGCAACTGGCTGGCCTCCAACTTATGATTTTTGGAATATCTTTGTCTCATCTCGTGGTCACTAATCAAGAACAAAATCAACTTCTTGTCATCAACCAAAACAGAAAATGTCTCATTGCCAAAGCAGATGTTTCTGTTGTCGGGACAAGACTGCAAAAGGGCGACAAATCAATGACCCACACCCAAACCTCAAGTATTCAAAAGCAATCACCATCAAAACTTCAAACGCTAGCAACAAATGAAATTTTGCCAATTTGGAAGCTATCATGTTACCATATCAATCGCATTTCAATCTGCCAGCAATTTCCAGCTGGATGTTTTATAGAAAGGAAGGAAAGATGGAAGGAAGAAAATGTTCCATTCATAGCTAGAAAACTCTCAATACAATTTCTATAAAAATGTAAAGACAGTTCGATACGTCCTCTTAATCATGGTATAAGAAAACAGTCAATTTGCCAAACAAAAAAAAAATCTCAGACCTTTACAAAATTGCAGCAGTGATGGCCACCCGAGTTTGAAGACTCCAATGAAGGAATGGAAGTGCCAATCATGAAAAGATGATTATTACATTTCCCTGTTGTATATCCACATACCTTTGAAATTTGGCGAAGACAATGGGGTACCAATGTTTTCTCTTTTTCCATTTTTTTTTTTCCATGTCCATGCTTCCACCCAACATTATACATACATTGTTTTGCAAGAGTTGGAGCTTTGCGATAATGTCCCTCTTTTACTATAAAACAAGGAGCTAATTACTGTAGGTGAAGTTTTCTTCAACGCTAGATTTCCAGCAAAATGTACATCAACTTGATGTCAGCAACTGTTTCATCAGCACAAAGTATCATGCAAGTCTGCAAATGAAAAAAGGAACAGTGCCATCTGCAATATAACGCATCATGTTAGTGAGCAACAAAACAATTAGACAAATAACAAAGCAGCTCCACAATGTAAGGCAAGGAAAACGAGAGCTTGATGTAGATTTAACTACGGAGATGTTTTAACTTTTAATCAGTATAAACAAGCTATATTCAACAATCCAAGTGAAGCATCTGCTTACATTTATCCATTCATCATATGAGTTGATATCCACAGGTTTCATAAGACTGAGAATCAAAATTCCCAGATTAGGTGAGTAGAATTGAAATTAAGAAGATACAACATACAACTCTATAAAGGTAAAAGCTGTGCAGAACAATCCTAACCCTTTTGCTTGATAACAAATTAACAGCAGGTAATTTTGTCACCTATATATCCAGTAAGCAGTCTACAAACCAGTGAAAAGAGGAAAGAAAATTCTAGGACAGACCATTACTGTCGAAAAAGCAACAACTAATTTTTTCACATATAATAAACTCCCAGTTTCATTTTTTTTTTTTTATTTTCATTTTGTTATTGTGCAGCTCTATTATCTTAGCTTAGAAAACAAAATTCTGGAAAGCATTATAACGAACCACTTCCACCAGATAAAATTCTTACCTCTTAGAAAGAACTTGACCACAAATGGGACATGCTGCATCATTGCTAAAGATCTTGCTTGCATATTCAGCGCCTATTTACAAAGTGAAGGAATCTTTGGAATGCATTAACTGTTTCTTTATCTTAAACAATGGTAAGGAAAAGATATATAAAATGTGCTGTGATGGCAGAAAAATGATATGCATTTGGATATAAAAGAGTTGACCAAAGGTAGTGGTAACAGCGCGCCCTTCTAACTCACGCCAACATGCATCGCATCTCATTTCAATTGATTATATTAGGCTTACTGCATCTGCATATCACAAGCAACCATCAAGGCAAGATTCTTTAGGAGCATATACCATTCCTACATAAAGTTTCAAGTCAATGACTGCTGCAGCTTGTTTGTTTCATGATTCAAAAGTAACAAAGCTTTGGCTTCAATATGCAAGACATCATGGTGTTAATCAATATCTGATAGAATCTAATGCTCCGTTTGTTGAATTCGGATAATCACCAGAAAGCGAATCATTACATGAACTTGAAAATTTAAGGAAAATTAGGGAAATGTTAATTCATAAAATATTCATAACCAGGTTTTGATGATTAATCATCAGATTCTAGGGAAAAAATTAATAAAAACCCTAAAAATTCAGGGAATTTCAATTAATCAGGAAAAGTGATATTTATTTTGATCCTGGTTCTGATATTGCTATGAGGTTCGATCAAATCATACGGAACGTCGTAATTTATGAGGTCCCAAACATGGAAAATGAAAACCTGTAGTTCGAGGTTTCCAAATTTTTCTTTTTCGTCTTCATAAATTTTCTTAGTGAGCAAACAGATTTATAATTACCGTTTTATCCGAAATTCAAATGGAAATTCCGTCCAAAATTGCAGATTCTCTAGCGACTTGATCAAACCTCAGTTAAATGCCTTGAAATTCATAGAAGCCAAAAATGTTGAGATCGAGAACGGGAAAAATGAAAAAATGGGCAACGCTAGAAAAAAAAAAAGCAAAAAAATTGAGATAAATCAATTTTTATTTGACAATGACCCAATCTCATAATAAATTTAAATAAAAATTTATTAAAATATGATTTATTAAATATTATTTGATGAATAAAAAATATTTATAAATAAATTTTTTTTTAAATTAAGAGATTATTAGTGGCAAGTTGTTATTCTTATAAATAATAGAGATTTTATAAGTTAAATATGAAAAAAAAATACAAATCAATTATAAAATTTTATAAAATAGATATTTTATAAGATTATAATAAATTAAAAAATTTTTATAAGTGTGTACTTTTAATTGAACTAAAAGAGAATAAAAAGATTTATATACAAATATATATTTGAGTATATATTTATTTGAATTAAAAGTATTAATTGAAAAATTGTTGATCGAAATTATATATTTATAAATTTTTTATAATTAATAAATTTTTTAATTAATAAACATAAATTAAGTTATTATTTTTTATATAATTAAATACTTGTTTGATTTTATTTATGTTGATTTTGATGGTTAATAAATAGGTGGCTTTTTTTTGCCAAACAATACGTTCAAATTTCCTGAAGATTTATTGGAGGAAAATGAACCTCTTTGTTCGTGAAATGCTTTGAGGACTCAGATCAAAGATCTCATTTTGGCGCGAAATTTCCTTTTTTTCCTTTTAAAAATGCTCGAGCTTTGAGTGTTTGAAACTACGTTATCGGTTACGCTCAGATTGCAATGAAAATTCGCTAATTGATGAAAAATATTGCTTGCTTCCTTTTGTATTAGTAATAATTTTTATTTTTTTTGCCCCTTTTTTTTATTTTATGAAAGAAAAAAAAAGTAACAAAAATGGTAAGTAATAAGACTTTCGTTTTACGGTCGGAACCCGACCGAGCCAGAGAACCGGTCTGGTCTCCCGAGTAATGACACAATCGAAAATCTGCCACGTGTACATTTCTCGAATCATAGCCTCAAAAAATATCCTCTCCCGTCCCCGCTTATAAAAACCAATCTAACCGATTATGAAAAATAAAAGGAAACAAAAAGGAAAAAGGAATCAGTTTGCTTAGCCGATTCATTTTTCTTCCTTTTGCCTTAAACCTTATATAAACCTCTCGCTATTTATTAGAAGGAAAAAAATAAAATTAAAAATCTGAAACTTTTTTGGATTTTTTTAGAGAGGGAGAGATGAGGATACAGTGTAACGTGTGCCAGGCGGCGGAGGCGAAGGTGCTGTGCTGCGCAGACGAGGCGGCGCTGTGTTGGGAGTGCGACGAGGAAGTCCACGCTGCTAACAAGTTGGCCAGCAAGCACCAACGTGTCCCGCTCTCGTCTTCCTCTTCTCAGATGCCTAAATGTGACATTTGTCAGGTACTTCCCAACAAAAAAAATTAACTTTTTTTTAATTACATTTGTTTTAAATGATAAAATTTTCTAAGTTAAAGGTAAGGTGGACTTTGGATTTAATTTTAAATTAGGGGGGAAAAAAGAGTTTATGTGAGAAATGGAGAAATTTAAATTAGTATTTGAATATCTTTACTTTTGATGAACCAAGTGATTGCAGAACTTTCGTTTTTGGAAAATGAATTAAGGTGCTGTGTTGGTTGTTGCTTTTATCTGCTCAATCATATCATATAAATTCTCATTACAAGTTCTCAAAATATCTGCTGTTCTGTGATGGGAGAAGTTCTAAATTACTTGATTTTGTGGCTTAGTTGTCATCTCTTAGTTTTGTTGCTTTTGGAATAAGTCTTCCCTACAATTAATTAATGTTGACAAAATCAATTTTTTTTTACAGGAAACATCTGGGTTTTTCTTTTGTTTGCAAGATCGAGCATTACTCTGCCGAAAATGTGACATTGCTGTACATACAGCAAATGCTTATGTGTCTAGTCATCAGAGATTTCTGCTTACTGGAGTAAAAGTTGGCCTTGAAACCACCACTGACCCTGGTGCATCTTCTTCCAATGTCAAATCACCTCCTAGTGAAAAGACCTCAGAAGCTAAATCTAATTCTACATCTCAAAGGGGGGCTCCTATGTCATTTACTGGTGGATACAATGAGGTCCTACCATCAAATGTTGGAGATGGGAAAAGTGTGCCAACAAAAGTGTCATATGCTGGGGGTTATACAGCTGGAAGCATTCAATCATGGCAAATGGATGATTTCTATGGGCTAACTGACTTTAATCAAAGCTATGATTACATGGATAATGAGTCGTCTAAGGTATGCTTATTGTTTTGGTTTTTGTCCTATGTTTAATGATGTTCTCATGTATAGTGGTGGCCACCCATCTTCTTAACATTCTAACATCTTTCAACATATCATTGTGTTTTACTGAAAATTTACAAAGTTCCTTTTACTAGGGTGGTAATCAAATAATCCCACAGTAGAGATTCTTTTACAACGCGGGGTAGATCTTTTAAAAGGTCATGTGTCTTCTGTTTTTCTAGTTGTACTATATATCTTTTAAAAGGTCTGCCTACTACGAATTCTGGATTACTTTTGCTGGATTCTGCCAGGCTGATAGTGGCAAGTATGGAGACTCTGACAGCTCAAGCTCATCAATCTTGCGATCTGCTGAGGAGGAGGTAGATGATGATGAGTGCTTGGGTCAGGTGCCAGATTCTTCTTGGGCTGTACCACAAGTGCCTTCACCTCCTACAGCCTCTGGGCTGTATTGGCCAAAAGATTCTCACAATCAAATTTATTTTGTGCCTGACATATGCTGCTTAATTGTGAAAAAGCCTTTCCATTCTCGGCATCCGAAAAGCCGGCGACAAATTTAGAATCATCTGCTAAAGTTTAATGTACAAGTTAGTCTTCTCATGGTTTCAGATTCACCTTCTCAGGTGTGCTTTTAGCCTATTATTATGTAGGTCTCCGTCCTTGGAAGTAGCTTTTGTTGCTTGAGTTTCTTGCTTCCAGTTTGGGCAATACCACTTTCTTCTATTTAGATCCTTCTCATTCTGCAGTTTTTATTCAGGTTAATAATATAAAACTATAACTGAAAAGAAAAAGCTTGTTAATCGAAGTAGTTAGTATTGTTTTGTTAACAACCTGTATTTCTTCATAATTCACAATATAATCTGATCAACATAGTTGATATCTGTGTTCTAAGATTCAGACAGCTGGAAAATAAAGGTTAGCGGTTTGAGTTTCCATTATTTTTTATGATCTTGGCTATAAGCAGTGAGAACTGTTATGATCCTGAGGTAGTATTCACTTCTTATTCTGTCTTGAGTTAGTTTCCATTGTTTCATATTCTTCAAGTTCCTTTGTGTTTGCCAATGAACTCCTACTACCATATGTGAACACAATTAAAACAGGAAATGCGGGAGAAAAAAACGAAAAAAATTACACAAATCAATGATTTGCACTTTGGATTTGAACATTGGTTTTCAGTTTTAAAGGTGGAAATAAAAGCATAGGAGATCACATGCAACATGATTTGAATCAATCATTGTTCCCAAAAGAAAAAAAAGAACCTTAAAAGAACAAAGCTTCAGTTTTGTGACTATTCTAACTTCTAACCCGATTTGCCCAAGAATAGGTGCTTCATGTGTTTGCATGAATGAAAATCAACCGTTTCCTTATTTAAAATGGATTCAAGATACAGGTAAAATTTCACCATTTGTATACCCTCGGCAATCCCCAAACAGGACTAAATGGGATTCAATCTACTTACACCGTCCATTTCAAGTCAAAGAAATAGAAAGCATGATTAGAAAATTTTATCTTGCACAGCAGACTTGTTTAATCAAGGAAACAAAGTCATAAGGCAGTAAAATCTACTCCCGACTTTCAACTGTACCGAATAGGACTTCCCAAGTATAAAGATGGGTTTGATAGTTTGCCTTTTATGTTGTTCAGCTAGCAGATGCAGTCCAACTTGGCGGAAGGCGGTCCGATGCCACAGGAGGCGTGCTACAGACGTTGATGTCAATGGGATATAAGCGATATTTAATATCCAAGTCGTTGAAAATCTTAACCATCTCTTCAACCAAGAGAGCCCTTCTCGCCCATCGCTCTCCCATGTCTTGGTGATTCATTCTATGTGTAAGCCATATTGCGATCCTTACTCTGTTCAAGTCTTCAAGTTCCTTAAATATAATCATCGGAGCTGGATACCAGTGGTCACTCCTGTGCTCAATGTAACTGCAGTAAGAAATGATCAATTGAATCATACATATTCAGCATATTGCGATTCAATAATACATTTCATTGATGCACACAAGCAAGCATACGAAGATGTACTATCACAACCACAAAAACTATACGTTTCTCTGATGCTCATCCACATCAAAATAAACTTGCCAAAGTACTGCAAAGAAAGATGATACACTCAAAGAGGCAGTTCTTTATCACTTACGATTCTCAAATGCATTTCATTTCAAGGTATTCCAAATAATCTTTCTGTTGTATATGTTTGATACCTTAAATTTACTATAGACCGACATAGCCGGTCCAAAAATAAACTTTAGTAAACAACAGAACAACGAAAATTATTCCAAGAGCATTCCATTTTTTAAAAAATCATATCATCAATGTGCTATTGCCATGATCACACAACTATAAAATGCCATATATTAACAACAAAGACTCTTGTAAATGAAAGCAAAGCAAAGAAAAACAATAGCATCTTTTTCTACCCACCTCAATATCCTCTGCTTCATAAGACCAATCTTTTCTGCAGGAGTTTTCACATGGATACAGAATTCAACTGCATCTCCCATATCAGGGCTCCGATAGTAGTTATTGATGGCCTTGGTAGCCAGGACACTGTTTGGGATTATGATCTTCTGGTTGTCATATCTTAGGAAAACAGTAGTCAAGATGTTCATTTCCTCCACTATCATCTGAAATTCATTGAATATGACTTTGAGATCCCAAGAATTTACAAGAAAATTTGAATAAACAAAATTTGTATGATCATAAAGATAAAAGGAAAAAAAAGTCAAATGATTTTTTAAGTACCTGAACTCCATCAATTTCACACCTGTCACCCACATCAAATGGGTGCATAACGAATAAGAATATAATAGCTTCAAATACTGTCTTGCAGGTGTTTCCAAATATAAAGGCGACTAGGAGCAGTTGAGAGCTAATAAAAACAAGAACTTTGCTGGTGGCAATTCCAAGTATGAGAAGCCAAATAACCACTATGATGATGCCAACCAGAATGTTCACCACCTGATGAAGTCTGTTGACAGCTGTTTTGGTATCATTCAGTGTCAAGGCAAGAGCCCTTCGTTCTCTAAAAGCATTGACCTAAGAGATTGAAGTACAACGCATTATTGCATGCATACAAAGCAAATCTTAAACTTGAACCTGGAACTTCTATTTTAGTGATTGTGTTCATGCAGGGAAAGAAAAGGGTGGGGGGACAGTGCCTTGTTTTACCCTTTAATGACAACTACTAACAAATGCTTTAAAAATAGAAGGTTTTCGTTTCCTTCTATTTAAGGGTGATAAAGCCAGCATAGCAAGTTCTAGTTTCTCAAAAAAAAAAAAAAAATCAGTTAAATCTATTGAGATTGCACTGCATTCTAAACAGCAATAAGAAACCAACATTCAACAAATTAAAAACCCAATACTGATACCACACAATATAGTTTACCACACATCATATTTTCCTTACTTTTACCATACTAAGTTTTCTCACACTTTTGCTCTTATCAATTGGAACTACAGGGATAAATAAGTGACCACAACCTAACATTTGATTAGCTATTTAAAGTGCACTTGACTTCAATCTGAAAAGTATCCACCAGGGAAGATTTGGACTAATTGGGTGTTTGACATGTTGTTTAAAATATAACATCATGCATACCTTCAACAGATTATATATACGCAAAAGAGAATATATTAGAAGTAAATCATACTGCTAGGAATGAGTTGCCAATGCTTACCACCCAATTCTTGAGGGCCTTCTTGCTAATTCTCCTGCTTTCAGATGCTCCTTCAAAGAGACTCATAGTCTTCAAAGCCTCATCTTCTTGCAGAAAACGTTCAATGTCCTCCAAGTAGATGTACCTGAGAAAACAATTATTAGCAATAAAACAAGGGAAAAACCTCCTTGGTGTAGTTCTATAGGAAATCCCAGATACTTATTATCATATTACCATCAAACCTGCAACTCATCGGTCAAACTAAACAACAGCAATATAATATATACACATATACATATATATGATATCTTGACATTACTTCTTGTTCACCATGATTCGCTTGATCGTTCCTTGGGTTTTATGATACTTCTTGCTCTATTTTCAACATTATTAAGTTGGGAATCATATCTTTTTTCTTCACAGTGGCTACATATGGTAAAATGAAGGAACATGGAGATGCAAGGAGGCTTTAATGAAAATGGAAGTTGATTTCCACTGTTTGAAGAGTTACTGATGTCACCAGAAGGAGTTGGAAGCAAGCATTCTTAATGGTGTCCTTGATATCTTTTAACACTTCTTTTTCTTTGTTGGGGGTGGGGTTTTGCAACATGTTTTGGGGTGGAACCATAAGCTTTCATGCTTCACTCAACTTTTGAAAGTTCCTGCCTAAACTAGCAACCTCGCTCGACAACAAAGTCTACCCCTTGTATCGTCTAAACACCAGTGTAACAAAAATGATTCATTTGTAACATAAGCTTCAAATGAGAAACAACCAATCAGCTAATAAAGTTAAATGAAATTTAAACTTGACTGAAAGTATTTTAAGTCACAGGTACACACATAATATATTGCATAGTAATAGGAGTGATGGACATACTTGGATCCCGGCTTAGCAACATTCTGGAAGATTTTCCTTGCCGCAACTTTTGCCTGACATTCGCTTCTAATTTGTGTTGCAGACTCATCTTCATGACATGAATCTTGTATCTGCTCATCTAAAGTGGAAAGAGCTCCATGGCGGATAATATTCATCAACCTTTTCATATTCCAAGCAGAGACATTTTTAGGATTCAATTTGTGCAAATGATCAATTGTTATCCCCTTATCTTCCTTCTCTCCCTTCTCAGAAGACAGCATAGGGCTTTTTCCTCGAGGACTTTTCTGGATCTGTCCACTCCCTATCTGCCTTCCACAATGAGTTGATGGAAGGGTGGAAGTCTTGAGGCCAGGAGGAATTGTAGCACCAGCTTTTTGTAGGTTCATAACTTCATTTGCAATTCTCTCCTCCTCCTCCTCTGCCCTTTGAATTTCAATCAAAGGTGGACCAGAAAGAGTCTCAATTACATATTGATTGAACAATGATTCCTGGATTCTATCAAAATAAGTACTCACATGGAAAGAAGATGCCAGTACCTTCACCAAAAGGGTCTTCACTAACCACAACATCACACCCACCACAAGACAAACCAAAACTTCAGTTACATACCTAAGGACTTCACTTTTAGTCTCCCTCTGAACCTTCTTATCGAATAAGTAATGCCAAGCAATCAAAACCAACCCTAGCCACAAACAATTCTGAACAGCTTTCCTCAGTCCATAAACAAAATACAGCACCCTTTTCCTCAAAAGAAAATTGCTCTCTATAAAAAACACAATTATCCTTATAATCCACCCTGAAACCAATCTACCACATATTAAAACCAAAACCAAAACTTCCCATTTCCACAACATAAGATTCCACAAACGTTTGTTTCTTAAAAAAGGAACTGTAAGACTACAAACCAAAGCAGCAATAATCAAAATCAAACTTAACCATTCAAGCAAAACCAAAACACTTAACTTATCTTCCTTATACTCATCAGGCAAATCTTCTTCAAGCAATGGATCATCCTCTTCTTCCTCCATATTTTTCCCAAGAAGCCCAGATCTCATTATCTGTCCTAACTTCCCTACTCCAGCTTTCGCTGACTTTGGCTCCCCCTTTTCCGGTGTAGGAGGGTCCATCAACCTTGACTTTGTCTTGGTTGCTAACAAACTTGATTTCCTTTGAAAAGAACTACCTTCACTTCTTTTAGAAGAAGAGTTTGAACTACACTTTACAACCCCATCACTCTCCCTAGAGTCCCTACTCTCTTCTTTTCCTGGAGATGGTGACCCTTTACTTCGTCTTCTTCTTACAGGGTTGTTTTCAAAGGACACCCTGGGAACAGCAGTTGGTGAAGGTGAAGGTGAAGGTGATTCAGCAACTGCGGGCAATAAGTTGCCATGATGAGGTGGCTCTTGCTTAAGTTCATCCATTTCCAAATCCATATCTAATGAAATCTCGCTTGAAGCTTTTTGTTTATGCAAAAACTGACCAATCAACTTTAATGGTGGATCTTCAATTTCATCTTGTTTGCTTTGCATGAAATCAAAACCTTCACTTTCTCTATTACTACTACTACCACTACTGCAAGTAACATTCTCTATTTTCCAGTTGCTCTTGATTTTCACGCTGTCTTTCCAAAATTCATAGCTTGACTCTCTCAAAATCTTACCTCCACCGCTGGCGGTGGCTGCAGCAGCAGAAGCCGGAATGCTACCGTCATTGCTTCTGTCATCAATGTTCAAGATGATTTCTTTCCGGTCAGCGGAATCAACGGTCATGGTTTTGCTGATTTAAGCCAATATGGCCAGACAAAAAATCGTATAATGTGAACCAATAAGTTTTTTAAAATTTGGGTTTGGAAGGATTTCAGTGATGAATATAGTTTGATTAAAAAAAATGCAAGCTTCTTTCTTGTGTTGGTGGAAATATGGGAAGAAGACGCTGTTTGGTACCTAGGAAACTCCAAGAAAATTTAGTTTTTTTTACTTCTTTTTCTTGCTGTTGACGCGTGAAATGAGGCTGTGAGAGAATGGAAAAAGATCGTAAATTTTTAAAAGCTTTGATGAGAGAGAAAGAAAGAGAGTCATTTGACAGAGGAAACATAACAAGTGGCAGAAAGAACAGAAACAAAGGTTTTGGTTGCATGGTCTGGTTTCTTACTGCATAAGTATAAAGATGATTTAATATATTTAAACTATTCACTCACTTCACCCTAATCTTTGTAATAGACCTGTCCATGTAACGTCTAGACGAAGCAGAAGCGGAGATGGGGATTCTTCCGGCGGTCAACTCATTAAATTTTGTAGCTTGTTGAGAACCCCGTATCAAAATTTTGCATGTGCATGATTTTCTAGATTCTATCAAAAATAGTCTGTCCATCAGTCCGAAATTGAATAAGCATCTCTATCCACGTCCGAATCCGTCACAACAGGAGTGGTTAAGCCTCAGTCCAGAATTCACCTCGCGTCTAATCAGGGTATTAATAAGCTTTAAGGCTACTTTTGATGCATAAAATTAATTGAAAGATATAATATTAATTATTTGATAACATATTTATTATATATTTAAATAAAATAATGGAATTACTAAAAAGATTAAATATTTTATGTTAATAAAATAATTATATCTTTCACAAAAATAAAAGATTATTTTTAATTTATGAAATTAAATTTACATATTTTATTATATTCTTAAAACTTATATCAATAATTTAAATTATATAAATTTAAAAAAGAATTTGATCAATAAATAAATAATTTTATCTTAATTTTGTATATTTCAAATATAAAATAAAATGATATTATTTAATCTAATCACATTTATAATATTATTTTATTTATCTTATTATAATTTTATGTATCAAATATGATTTAAATTTACTTAGACTCGACTGAAAATGTTAGTCTTATTTTATTGTTCAAATTCAGCTCAATTTTAAAAGATTTTATTTAAATTTGTTCATATTTTAATTTTTTAAATAAAAAAATAAAAATAATTGTATAATAAATATTAACATAATAAAATAAATAATCGATAAAAATTTTAAAAATACTTTATTAATTTAATTTGGTGTTTGAATGTGATTAATACATATAAACATAAGATATTAATATATACTTATTATTATTTAATTATTTCTTTATTTCTATATAATATAAATATAAATAAAAAATATATAATAGTTACTGAGTTAGATCAAATTAAGCCTAAGTCTTAAAGTTCATAATCAAAATCTGACTCATCTTTTAAATAAATCTAAAATTTAAGTTCAAATCTATTTAACGGGTCTCAAATTTATATTTAAATTTTTTAAATATCAAAAATTTTTTTAAGTTTAAGTAAATAGCTCAATCTATAAATAGATTTAATTTATAATATTATCATTTCCATCGTTTACTTTTTAAAAAATTTTAATTAAAATCTAAAAAAGGTATAGTATAATTTATATCTAAAGTTAGAGTGAATCAATTTGGATGCAATAGCACCCATTATAAGTGTCGATTGCATTATTAAAAACTACTGAAAATCTGTTTGGATATCAAGATAACACTTCAATTGAACCAATTAACCACACCGTAACTTATTTTCTTTAGGGAAAAATTGTTCATATTGAGAATGACCATCAACGTTGAAATTTTTTTTCCTTTCTTGCCATGCACATTTTATTACAAAGATAACATTATCCCTATAATTTAATTTTGGATATCATGATAACACTGCAGTTGAACCAATTAACCGCATCGTAACTTCTTTCCTTTAGGTAAAAATTTTTGCTATTGAGAAATGACCATCAATGTTGGATTTTTTTCCTTTCTTGCCATACTCATTATATTAAAAAGATAGCAATATCCCTATAATTATTTTTTTTCTTTCTTTTTATTTAAAAATTGAAATTATTTTATTAATTTAATAAATAAATAAAATTTTACTAATTTTACTACTATTTTTATTAATTTTTAATTATTTAAAAATAATATTATTATTTTATTTAAAAGTAATTTAATAAATATTAATTAATTATTAATTTATAACTATTAAATAATTTAAATTTTTATTATATATAATTTTTACTATAATATCATGAACAATAATTTTTTTCACTAAAATTCACCTCGTTGTCACTGTTGCTTTAACAACAAACATATATCTATAACCGACTTTAATATTATTGTTATAATAACTAATCATATTATTAAAATAATTAATCTCATTTTATCGTTATTTTCAATTTTAATAAAATCAATCTCATTATCTATCTAAATATATTCTTAATTATTGTGCATGATTCATAATAAAATATGATTTCCTTTTTTATTTTAGAATTTATTTTTTACATTAACTCTTGGATAAAAAATGTGAGTCAAACTTAAAATTTTTGGTCACATTTAAAAGCTTACATTAAATAGATTTGAAATTTAAATTCTAAATTACGAATTGCAACCGACCACCTTCTTTATAAAAAAAAAAAAAATTCTTTCATTTTTTGTACAACAATTATAATGCATTTATCAACAATTGTTACCAATTATTGACTGCAACAATAATGTTCAATTAGGAATCTTTTTGCTCTTTACAATTAAAAAATTAAATTTTTATAAAAAAATTACCCCTAAACTGAATTACCAAATGATCCTTGCTAAACCTCAAATTTTTTCTCTCAACTAATTTCATAAGCCTCAATCTTCATCATCTCTATCTACAAAATCGAAATCAAGTTTCAATTCTCTTAGGTTAAAGGACGTCGAAAATAAGGTGGAATGTGGAAACAAAACCTGTCACGACGAAGATCACAAGCAAAACAATTTAGTTCATATATGTACATAATTTTTCAAAATGCACATATGTACGTATTAATAATATATATAGGTTTATTTAGCATACAGAAATGAATATTTACTTAAAGGTTCTTGAGGGTTTGGGTGCTAAGAATTTGAAAGTAAATGCCTTATGATTCAATTGGCTCTCGTGAGCAAATTTACCTAAAATGTGTTTTAAATATTGGTGTATTTAGCTTATGGCTGTAAAGAGCAAAATTTTGGTTGTATATAGAAGGTCAAATTATGTCAAAAGTCTTTGTACTTTACAAAAATTTAGAATTTAGTCAATGTATTATAATTTATATAAATTTAATTTTTATATTATTTTGATTTAATAATTTTAATTCAATAACTAATCTAATCAAATTTTTATCATTAAAAATTTTAATATAACTATTGACTTTATTGACGTGATTATTGATTTTGTCGACATAACGTTGATTTTACTAACGTGATATTGACATATTGATGTGATAATTGAGATTGATAAAATCAATTATTAAATTATACAAAAAATCATTGATTTATATGAAATTTGAAATTTAATCCCTATACTCACAAAATTTGAAATTTAGTCCTTTAATATAAAATATATATTTTGAATTTTTAGAAATTTTTTTAGTTTTTTAAAATATTAAATTTTAAAAATTGCTACAATATTCTCTTATAATATTCTATCACAATATTGAAAAATATATTATAGTATTTTATCACAATTTTCATATATTATCACTAAATCTATTATAATTTTTGTCACCCATATAAAATACTGTTATTAGTTTTATCACTATTTCTTATTACATTTTTATAAAATATAAATTTGTTGTTAATTTTGTTACACTTTTCTATCACAATTGTAGTATATTGTGGTCATATGAAAATAAGCTCATACCAATTTGCTAAAAATCTATCACAAATTTATTAATATATGATACAAATCTATCATTATTAAATTTTAATAAACTATTATTTTTATTAATTTATAAATAAATAAGAATTATCATCATATTTCATAAAGGTAAAATTATCCAACAAACAATGTTTTTATTCCTTTAAATTAGACCCTATTTAAATGATTTTTTATAACCAAATCTAAGTTAAAAATTCTAAATAAATTAAAGTAATTTACTAAACTTAATGTGTATTGGTTTTAAAACTAAGCTTATTATTTAATTTAACATAATTATTTAGATAAGTTTTTTTTTTTTGTGAAGATCCAAAAAATTGAAAGTATCATATATGTTACCAATTTTTTTGTATTATATGGACTAAATTTCAAATTTTGTGAGTATAAGGACTTAAATTTAAATTTCATGCTAGTATAGGGACCAAAATTTGAATTTTGTATAAATACAAGAACCATTTATATAATTTAACAACTAATTTCATCAATCATAATTCTCACATTAGCAAGTTAACACCACGTCAACAAAGTTAATGCCATGTTAGCAAAGTCAATGATCATGTCAGTATTTTTAACAATAAAAAATCAACAGAGTTAGTAATTTGACTAAAATTTTTAAATTAAAATAATATGAGGATTAAAGGTGTATGAATTATAATATATGAACTAAATTCTAAATTTTCATAAAATATAGGGACCTTTGGCATAATTTGACCTATATAGAATTTCTCAAAAAAAATATTTGTGTAGTTCCTTTTTAGAAGAGAGAAAAAAAAGAATTTTTTTTTTATAGAAAATTTCAACTAATTAGATGATAATTGTCCAAACTAATACTACCATTATGCAATTAAAATTTGGACAAAATTTGGGTTTTAATTAATCATGGGCATAAGAAATTCAACTATCAAAACCAAAGCTATTTTTTTAGGAAAGAAACATGGATTAAAGTTTTTTAAATCCTTTCTCAATAAAAATGTAGAACCAATTAAAGTGAACATCCTCTTTAACGTATATAAAACTATTTACTACAAGTATAATCTTTTCAACTAAATCTATCAAGACATTCTCTAATATATAATCGAGCATTATTTATTTCAAATTTTAAAATATCATTTCATTCCA